CAATGAGTCAACACTGCACTCAAAGTTGTATGGAACTAAAAGGGAACTCCTTAAAACTGTCACGTTTATCACAAGAACTTGTCTGTCGGTGTAAATCAGAAAGCAAACAGAAGAAGAAGAAGAAAACAAAAAGAAGAAAAAGTAGAAGAAGAAGAAGAAAAAGAAGAAGATCTACCATTGTTTTGAAAACAAATTTCAATGTATATCCTCCACTGCTGACAAACATGTATAAGCACAGCTTGTAATGGGGTGATATGTTTATATTTCCTATGTATGAAAACTCATGGGACACCCTGTTTATTATAAATCCTACATGAACGACACATTACAATATACAAGAATGCAATACTGTTTTTGAGGGAATTATATAAACCAAGAAATGGCAAGGTACAAGTTTTAAATGAAAGTAAACACTACATAATGCCTTAATAACTTCCAAGATGCACTGGCTGGGATAATGTAACATTTTTTCTGTGTAAGGGATTTAGGGCCCTATTTGGGGTGGGGGGGGGGGGGGTATAGACCCACTGCTCTCCCCTTCCCAACAAGTGTGTCATAAACAGTGACTAGTTAGAAGTCTGCAGAAATCAGATATGTTAGGCCATGAAGTGCAGATACTGCAACTTAGCAGAAACCACAATATGCCAACAAACCCGTTTTAAGAGCGAGGACAAAAAAAAAGAAAATATTTCAGTTTACAAAGCTAATTATTACAAGACAGGTTCTATAGATTCCTAGAAGAATAGATATCACTCGTCTTCTTCTTCTATGCATTTACTACTTCTAACTAAAAAAAAAAAGTTCTGGTTGTTCGTACACTTCTAGACTTTGGTCTTATTTCAGAAGTTACATTCAGCTTGCACACTGTCTCCCAACATCGCCCACCAGTAGATGACTTCATTGTCGGTTGGGACAGTATTTAGCTCTGTCTCCTTTGATCTCATCAACACTGCAGGAGTCCTTTTCAGGGCTACCTGGCAGCATACAATGCTAAGACATTTTATATTTGGCACATTACCTAGTTATAATTATAACCTAAAAAGTTAATGTAAAGTTTTTTTTTTTTAAGCAAAGCAACATTTTCCTCCCACATACAGTAAAGGGAAGGAAAGGGGGACTGCAAGTGTAACCTTAACAGTGTGATAGACAACATAATAACCCTGCCACTGTCTTGTGTCAATACTGTGTCAATACTGTTGTTAGAGTGTTAAGAATGTGACATGACAGTGCATATAAACACAGTGACTTCATAGTGACAATTTTATGATAGCCGAGCTACATAAAGAAAGGCACAGAAAAACAGAGACGTATGTGGAAAACTGAAAGATTTAGCAAATAATAACATCAGCAACACAGGTCAACAACATATCAGATAACAGACACCAAGCACTGGAAAAAGAATGAGCTAACAAGCAGCATATTCAAAAACAATGAAAATAAAATAAAACACTATACATACAATATTTAAATAGCATTTGTATCAACATCATATGGCACATCAAACAGCACAAAACATCACAGTACAGTATTAAATCACACTATATTATTGTTGATCATGACAAACTTATAAGGAAGTTAGTGACTAGTTTTGTTTGAAACTGTATATTTTACCAAACTTTTTATTTACAATCCAACGACCTGTTTACTTTTTAATTAAGTTGCACTGCACAGCAATGAGTGAGATTATTCACGTCTAGTCTTGTATTTCATGGATATCAATGTTCAAGAATGTTTTTTGTGGCTTAGTTTAAAAAAAAACACAAAGGCAAAGATAGTTTCATAAATGATAATGCCGTTAGGATGTGAAAAACAGTTCCCTTCTTTGTTGCCTTTTCTTCATAGATATTTTGAAGAACATTTTCAAAATTTTCTGGTAGTTATTTTTATGAGACAGTGTGAAATAAGGAAGAGTAAAATAAAGGACAATTTTCACACCTTAAACCCACACAGGGAAGCCTTAAATTTGAGACAGTTACCTTTTTATTTTTTTATTTCACAGCGTGAATGGTGTGCACTGTTTAGCAGTGATTATGCTGAGTTGAATTATTATTCAAGAACTGTATGCCTCTATATGTGATTGTTTCATTACTGGCCTTCAATGAATGGACATAAAAACATCATACTTTGTACCTTAAATAGACAGTAAATTAAAAAAAACATAAATACTGATCTCTTTCGGTCCCCGGAAACATGCCCCATGAACATGTTTCCGAAAATCTCACTAAGTAGCATTTGCTCTAAATGGGATGAAAGCATTCGGAAATCTAACCTCCTTCACTTTAATCTATACACCTGGCCATGCTGACGTGAAAGATAACAAACGACAGGACAAATCAGCAAGCAGTGCATCAATGCATCTGGGGAAGAAGCATCAATGCTGTACAGCAAGGGTTCTCAAACATTTTCATGGCCACGGCACCTTTGTCAAGTTAAAAAGATTTTGTGGCACACCTACTCTTAAAGCGGTTAAATTCTTAGGAAAAGAAGAAAAAATAGTGCATATTTAATGTTCAGTTGTCTTTAATGTGATGAATGAAACTGTTTGGATGAATTTTGCATTATATTGTTTTCATTTTTAGAAATTCTCTCATAATAGATAACCCTGCCTGAAGAAATAAAGGGCAGTGTTTGAAACCTGTGTGTACTAAATCAGAATGATTGAATTCCAGATGACTCTTTAATTTGGACAGAACCAAGAAGCCATTAGCAACACTTCTATATCAGTTAACGCATTGCCCTTCCGGTACCTTTCTGTTCTCAACCGAAACAAAAACCAAATAAAGTGAGGTAGCTAGGATCATATTTTCTAAGTTTTCCTTGGATTTTCTTTTGATCGTGAGTTGTCGTTCCACAAACAGGCCAGCTTGGATGGCTTAGGATCGCAGCTGTCTGCTGAAACAATGTAACCACAACTTTACTTATTGACTGTACCTTAACGAATGCAGGTTGAGGATCGGTCGCACTTTTAGATAAATACAAGAACAATTCTTAGCATGTTGCGGTTGGCATTTGATGCCGTACGAAAAATGTCCTAGTGTGAAACAAACAATAGGCTCTTCGACAACAGTGAGGGAAGACAACTTAAATGTTAACTCTTAAGTTTCTGCGTGCCTTCTTGAATAATTTCACAATGTTTAGCTGACTTTTCTTGATTATTGCTGTGGCACCCCTGGCATACACTCGCGGCACCCAGTTTGAGAATCTCTGCTGTGCAGACTATGTTAGCGGAGAACGACAAATCTCTGATACTAACATGATTGCGTGACATGGGAGTAAAGCATGATGAAGCATGTATGTGCCGCCTCCGAAGCCCAAGACAGGAAATATTATAACCATCAGTAGAGGTACCTTGGGATGGTAGTTGCATCGAAGGACTAAGCATGCCCAAAGTGCACTGACAGTGATTGTGATTGCATAAAATAACATAGTCCCAGACAAATTCAACATTCTTGTTTTAAAATATCTGCATTTCACATTGAAAATCTTCGAGTCTTTGTAAGATTAAATAACACACCCATGACATAGAAAGAGTTAAAGTAACAAATATGTTAAAAACTGATTAACATAACAGAAGACATTGAGAATTAAACATTATGTTTTGAATTATTAAAAAACAGATAACGATTTGCTTTGTACTGGTACATTAATACAGGAGGACACTGCAACAATAGATCTGTCACTGCCACAATAGATTTATCACGACTAAAACTTCACAGCCACACTCTGATAAATCTGTTTAAAATGTAATAGACACATGAATTGCTAGAATACATTAGCACCTTTATAAAATGTAACATGTGCCGGAAGACTGAAACATTCTGTTTACATTACAGCAATATCACAAGTAATTTCTAAAATATGGCAATCTGAATAAACAAAATGTAAACATATAACATGTGACAGAGACTGTCTTCGGCAAGTAAGCATTAACTCTTTTGGTACCATGGAAAATATCACATGCTTATTTTATAACCAATTCAATAGTCCTCTGGTACCAAAATAGTTTTAAAAAATATAGATTCAGCATCCTTACCAATTATCAACCTGTTGTTCTGTTTATATATCACATAGGGCTTGCAGTTGAATGCTTCATTCTTGTTCTGTTTATATATCATATCCAGCTCACAGCTGATTCCTTCATTCTGTTCTATCCGTTGCAATTCTTGTTCTGTTTATATATCATATCCGGCTCACAGCTGATTCCTTCATTCTGTTCTATCCGTTGCAATTCTTGTTCTGTTTATATATCATATCTAGCTCACAGCTGATAGCTTCATTCTGTTCTATCCGTTGCAATTCTTGTTCTGTTTATATATCACATCCAGCTCACAGCTGATTCCTTCATTCTCTTCTAACCTTTGCAATCCTTGCTCTGTTTGTATATCACATAGGGCTCACAGCTGATTCCTTCATTCTGTTCTATCCGTTGAAATTCTTGTTCTGTTTATCCAGTTCACAGCTGATTCTTTCATTCTGTTTTATCATGTGCAATCTCTGTTCTGTTTATAAATCACATAGGGCTCAAAGACGATTTTTCCATTTTGTTCCTATGTAATCCTTTCCTTACTATCTATGGAATTCAGTCTGACATCTCTCAGTAATGACTGCTGCCAAATGTGTATATATATATATATATATATATATATATATATATATATATATATATATATATATATATATATATATATATATATATATATATATATATATATATATATATATATATATATATACACACACACACATATATAAATATATATATATAATCAACTAAAATATTTATAAGAGTATTTATTAAAAACTATATATTAAGTATATAATTTTTGTTTCATGGATTTTCTTCTTACCTGGTATAAGGCAGTTGAAAGGTGTATACTTGTTCATTGTTTCTTTGCAACATCTCTATATATCAACATATATTTTTGTTTTATTTTCTGTTCGTTATTTTACCTAGCAGGATTCATCCTTTGGCAGTAAGTACCTTCACATACCAAATACTCTTAAGCACTATGTTCTGACTTCCTCTTTGCTACATCTCTGGACTGAAGCATTTGTAGACACACAATGGACACAACGATGCAGGCTACACTGACCAACAAAACTACCAGGAAGCTCTCATGCCATGTCCTCCAGGTAGCGATAACACTCAGTGGATATCCTGCCATCACACGACCAACTGCAATTGACAAGGCACAAATAACATCAAAAGATGATTCTAGCCACAAACACACACACACAAAATAACTAGGTTAACACAAAATCAACATATGATTCTAGCTAGATCATAACTAGATATGCACAAAATCAATGTATTATTCCAGCTAGAACATAACTAGAAACACACACAATCAACATATGATTCCAGCTAGAACATAACTAGATATACACAAAATCAATGAATGACTCCAGCTAGAATATAAATAGATAAACACAAAATCAACATATGATTCCATCTAGAACATAACTAGATAAACACAAAATTAACATATGATTCCAGCTAGATCATAACTAGATTCACAAAAAATCAACACTTGATTCCAATCAGAACATAACTAGATTCACGCACAATCAACATATCATTCCAACTAGAATATAGCTAGATGCACACAAAATTAACACATGATACCAGTCAGAACAAAATGACTTGAAAACAATCGTTTACTGCCCTTATTCAACCACTTTTTATGTAGGTGAAGAAGATACTTTCTTAACTCACAGGTAAAAAACTTCAATTTTACCACAAGTACACTTTCTCTCACTCATCTTTATTCTTGGAAGTGAAACAATGTGACTTTCTGAACCTGCCTTCCAATTAAAAACCCATGTCATAAACAAAATGGCTTACTGTTTCCGCCAAGGGTGGCCAGGGAATGTGCGGTGCCAGATAAGTTTTCAGGTGCAAGTTCCATAGAGGCAACACCAAGCAGCGAAATGATTCCATACATCCCAAAGCCAACCAAAAAGCCAAAAAAGTTCATAAAGATCTGCAAAAGGAAACATTTGAAAAAAAAAAAAAAAAAAAACAAGAAGGCAACTGCTTGTATCCTGAACAAATTCTCATTTTTCTAAAAAATGGCAACAATAAATAAGTTTAAAATATACTGCTGAATTAACTGCTAAATGTTTATGTGAACCAAATTTAAAGAGAAGAAACACAATGTAGAATAAAATCTGAGGAAAACAGGTATACTGTGCCTTACATTGGTAAAACTCAAATGCTGCATCTCGTTACACAAAATATAAAATACTGATAAAACCGATCGTTCTATATGGCTCCGAAACCTGGCCTTCAACTAAAAGAGATGAAGTCTTGTTATAAACTTCTGAAAATTGTCTTAAGGTAAATCTTTGGACCTATCATAAATGCAACAAGCAGAGAATGGAGGGTGAGAGACAACGACAAAATTCTAAGTCTGTTTAAATCACCACTAATTACTGGCATCATCCCCTGTGTGGGTTCCGGGGCCCCATTGTAGGGGAAAACAAGAATAGACCCACTGCCTACCCAAAAGCATGTCGTAAGAGTCGACTAATTGGGGAGCTTCCTTTGAAGTCGGAGTGCATTTGCCGGAGAGGCAAGGAACCAACAGTCTGTATTCAAGAGAATGAGATTTGTAAAACTGATGCACACGCAACACTCAGGTTCTGGAGCAGGACTGCAGTTCAGTAGTGGATGAACAACCAGAACTTTCCGCCAGAGTGTACAGCTGGTGAACGTGAAGAAGAAGAAGAACTGGCATCATGAGAGCTAAAAGACTGAAATGGTTGTAGCAATTAGAGAAAATGGTAGACAACAGACAGTGAAAACAGCATACATAGGAGTGGACCACGAGTCAGACCAAGAAGAGGTGGAGAGATAACATACAGACAGACCTACATACACCATGAGTCACCAAGTGGAAAGAGAAGGCCAATCACAGAGATGAATGGAGGTGGGTGATTTCTTTAGCAATTAAACTTTAGGGCTCAGAATGCTGAAGAAGAAGAAGATTATCAAACTTTGTATTCCACATTTCCTTCAATTATTTCAGTTATAATTAAGTTTAACCTAAAAAAAAAAGCCACCCTAAGAAGTGTAAAATATGATGCCTTCATATATATTTGGTCATGGTAGGATGAAGTTTTCTTTGCTATCACCTTTGTGGACAATTAAAAGTGTTTTCTTCAATTATCCAGCACATAATTTGCACCCAGGCTTCAGGAAGGAAGAAAAATAGTGATGGACCAGGTCTTTCAGGAAAAAGAAGGTGGTGAGAGGGTTGAGGTGGGAAAGTGGGGTTGCAAAGGAAATAGAACTAGGATCACAGGTAAGGTAAACAAGAGCTCTAATTACTATGTCAACATGACTGTTAGTGTAGAGATTATAATGCTGAACTGATATAAAATATTCTGTTGTACTTGCAGAAAATGGGACAATGCACAAGCAATTAGAAAGTCCCATTGTCTCTGCAGATGCGGATGTACAGAAGAATAGGTTGTATTTTATGGAAATATAAACAATCAAATACAGAGGTTTTACAAATTTTGAATTAGTTATCAACATAGCGGCACTCAGGACATTCCCATGAGTGCTCTGTCCCCATCTTCAGCAGCAAATACAGAGTTCCAATTCTGATGGCAACAGGGGTTCTAGAGAGCTGGGAATGAAAAAAGAGTTGCTAAAGAGGGGAAAAAAAAAAGTGAAATATTTTAAGCACACTAAAAGCTGTATCACTCTTTAAAAAACCCATGAGTGGTTTCAGACCACGTGATAAATGTCAGTCTTCGGAAAATAACTGTCATGACAGAGAGCCAAAGCTGTGTATGCTTATCAGCATGGCCCATGATGATGATTCCCCGAGCATTCACCTGGAATTTAAAAAAAAAAACTTGGAGGAAACATAATCAACCCAAGACTAGTCTCAGCCAGTTTGTAAAAGCTATGCATCTCCAGACTCAATGGGATGTTCTAACTGATGATCATTTGCCAGGTTGTATTGTTGTTGTTTGCGTTCACAGGCTGTAAACCCCGGCGGAAAGACCCGGCAGTACTTCAAGTCCTCCCAAGCAGAAACCTGTACGTCTCACATGTTCAAGAATCACATATCCCTATCATATATGATAGGCAGCCCTTAGCAGCTTGCATACTGTAAAATATAGAAGTGTCAGATTCACCACCTCACATGATCACTACAATCACAGACTAGGTCAGTGTTCTTGTCCCATCCAAGCCATGTGTTGAAGACATCCAGGTATTCAATTAGAGAGAAAGATGAATGTAAACTGACTAGAATTAGCCAAACTAAGGAGAATAAAAGAAAATGCTAGGTACATATAAAAGTAACTCATTGAACTAATGGTAGTTTTTTCGGATGTGTTATAAGAAGGAATGGATTTGAGAACTTGTAACAACTGCAAGATTGATGACAAAAGAGCAAATGGAAAGCAAACAAATATTTGGATGGCTTAGCCAGATGGATGGGGCAAGATAAGAACATTAACCTGATCCATGATTTTGGTGATTGAGTGAGATAATGAAATTCAAAAACGACAGCCTACTCGTATCGGCATGTAACATGATGATGATGATGGTGATCAACTATTGACAATAAACAATAACAGTCTAAATAGGGACAAAAATAACATAGACATACCTGGAAGGACTGGTGGGTGGTGTGGAAAATAAGTAAATACAGTCCCAGTGTTTCCAGCACTGACAGTAAAACTATGATTTTTAATCTTGATCTAGTTGTTTTTTCACCCTGTTCATTATAAAAAATAAATAAATCCTTTACAATTGTAACCAAAAAAACAAAACCCTTTCAAATTTCTTCTTTTTAAAGTCTATGCCAAATGTTGTTTGTAGTTTAGACTATTCACACCCTTCTGTCTCGTGTACTTTCAATTAACTCTGACACAGATGATCCTCCATGTCATGATGTCAAACTGTCCAGCATCTGTTCTCTCAGTCTCCCTCTGCCTCTCCCCACTTTCCTACTGTCACTATGTACTCCAGTTTTCTCTTTCTCATAACATGATCAAAGTATGTAGATTGCCTCTTTCTGATGTGGGCAATCTGTTCTCTTTTGTGAGTCAATTTCTTGTATCCGTCCAGGGTATTCTCAACATCGTCTATCAAACCATATCTATGCAGCTTCCAAATAATTTTTTCACTAATCTTTCAACTGTCCATGATTCACTTTTATATATCAATATATGATTTATATAGCTTTTAAGAATTCTCTTTCTTGTCTCAACTGACAAAGAAAGATTACATAAAATATTCTTCATTTTGTAAAGTGCTGCCTTTGCTTGAGCTATTTTACATTTAACTTCTTTAGTATATCTTCCATCTGCTTTTATCAGCTTCCCCAAATATTTAAACATACCAGCTTTCTTGAGGTTTATCCCATTTACCTCTCTTATATTTAAATCATAAATAATATAGAGGAAAAAAGAAGAAGAAGAAGAAAACACTGCTTATAAATATCCTTTGCCGAGTAACGTCTTCAATATAATACATATTTATCACTACTTCACCACACAGCTGAAAGAAACTAATTATGTATTTTAAGTTAAAAATAGACTTAGATCAGTTCATCATCATTATGTGCCATGCTAAACAGCATAGGTAGTCCTGGTATGCTATGTCATGCAATTACCAGAATCATGGATCAGGTCAGTGTTCTTGTTTAGTCAAAGCCATGTGGCCAACCAAACTTTGCAGCTATTTATCTCTTTGTCTTCCTTTTACTCAATTTCCACAATAGGTTTGCCAGTTGTCACCAAGTTAAATGAGTTTATTCCATCTCCTAAGATATATTTTGACTGTCTATATTTAATTCCCTCAATAAGTTTACAATCCTCGTATCTTTCTTGGGGACTTAGAATTTGGTCGGTGTGGACGGGCACACAGAATACTGAAAATTTGCTGCAGACAAGCTCTCTTCATGCTGAAATATACATGCATGAAATTAGGGGGCTGAGTGGTCGTAGGGCATGGCATCTGCCTCGAGTGCTGGAGGTCTTGAGTTCAAACAGTGGTAAAGGCTGGAATGTTTTCTTGTGGACTTCTAGTAATTTCCCCTGGTCTTTGGGTAGTAAGATCAGATGCTCGTGTGTATTGTTGGGCACGGGAAAAATCCCTTGGCAGTTGGAAATCTAAAAGAGTAGCCTAACGGCTCTGCCCTGGCCAAATTCGCAGTTAAAAATCTACCCAAGGTATTTTCAGGATCCTCACCAGTGGTACGGAGTCTGTGCACTGCGCTGAGATTCTTCAGACTCAGGCTTAAGTCAGAAGTAGAACGGAGCACTTATGAGTTACTACCCTTGTGCCATGATGTTGATCTGTTGTTTTTAACCTTTAACCTTTCTACATGCAGCAGGGAGAGCTCAGATCTGGCCAATTAGAATTCCAGTGGAAACCAGGTTATATGGATCAATGGAGGACATGTGTCCTCACCTCAGCCCTTATAGTGGCCTGTTGCCTTCTCATCTGAGAAGCACTGGCAGGGAGAACGACAAGAATAAGATCTGGCCTCACTATCCACAATCATGATCTAAAGCATAAGGACAGCACATAAACGACAGAGGAGGTGGAACAACAAACCAAAGAGATGAGACTCGTCCAAGAAAATAATTGGCAAATAAGGAAGAGGAAATGAAAGCTTAATCAGCTGGACAACAAATAATAATGTCAAAAACATCAACTTTATTAAAATATTAAAAGGCATTGTTAAGTGGCGAGTCATAACCACTGACTGTATACTTCAGGCCAGGCACTTAACATTTTCGTCTTGTAGATATCTCTTTTTTTTTTAAAAAGAATTTTTTTCAAAATATCACTAAAAAGAAACAAAACATTATAATTCTAAGAAACTCTAACCAATACAGCCGGAACAAAGCATAATGCAAAAGCCACCAGCTGAGAAAAAAACAGTGCTATGTCAGTTTCCCTCCTAAACCAGTAAGGGCCTAGTTTGTCCTGTTTTTCAAAGTTAATCATTTTACAAAAAATGCCAGCCAAATGTAGAAAAAGCATTCAATTGTAACACGACTGAATAGGCTGGATTTTCTGCTTTATATGAATAGAATAGTCACAGTGCTCTTAATATAACCTTTAAATAAGGGGGTGACTAGTTGACCATGTTCTTTGAGCGCTTGTTTCCATAGCAAAGTGCACATGCTCTCTGGAGGTGACAGGTTCGATTTCTGACACGGTAACTATAGCTTTCGATTTTTTTGTTGTCTAGTGTGTTCTTTTATCTTTCTACTTCTTTCTATGAGTGTGGATCAATACATTTTCTGTTAATTCATTAATATTTAATATAACCTACAGCTATAGTTCAATGTATATAGAGCTGTTTGGTATTAGTTAGTTAGTTAGTCTTTCCTCTTGTGTCGAGTGCGGCACATAGGGCAGAAGTCATGACTCTCCATGCATGGCGGTTCGTTGCAATCTGTTGTAGGTCTTGGATGTTTGAGTGGCCCATAAGCGAGCCTTCCCTGATGATAGTTCTACGTAGGGTTTCCTTTGGTCTTCCACGAGATCTTTTCCCCTGTGGTGTCCAAATGAGGGCTTGGTATAGATCACGTAAAATAATCAGTAATGGAAGTAAAGGACCCTTATCACACCAGAGGTGTATAGGGCACATGATACTAATAATTGTATAGACCTACCAGCATTCGCGGCGTCCGTGGCTAAGGCGTTGAAAGTCCGACTCGTAAGCCAGCATACCGCGATCGAAACCCACTGCAGGCTGCGTGGATTTTTATAGTGGTATGGGACGTCGCAGGTTGACCCAGCCTAAAATGGGTACCAGGATGGGCTGTCCTGGGAAAGTAAAGACAGCCGGCATAATGCTGACCACATTACCCACAGAGTGCTGATGGTCTGTAAAAATATGGGACGCTCTGCCCATATGCCCGATGCGCCGAAAGGCGTGAAAAGGGATCTTTACTTTACTTTACTTACCAGCATTCAGTGGGTGATGCGGCCACCTCTACTTCCCAGGACATTACCTGTTACCCATTTTATGTCAGATCAACTTGGAAGCCTAGGTCTATTTTGAAAATAAGTCTGCCTCAATGCAGATTCAAACCAAAGACCTTTGGAAAAGCAGGTAAGCCTCTAGTCACTAGACTACTGCAGCTTTCAATAGCAATCAGAATACTACAACAAACAGTTACCTTGGAAACCAAATAGTCTGATATGTAGCCTGTCAGTATTGATCCCATAATTCCTCCAACTTCCTGACTGCTGATGAAACTGCTTCCTGAGGGATTTGAAAAGGTGCCCAAGAATTTCTTCTTTATAGTTTTGTTACTTACATTTGTGAGTGTGCACAAAAACTCATGGCAGTAATTTAAAGTGATTCACAAATACTGTAGGGGAGCCACGATAATGCAGTGGCTAGATGCTCTCAGGTCAACCCAGCCTAAAATCGGTACTAGGTCATGCCCTGGGAAGTAAAGGTGGCTGAGGGCAGACTGGTCTATATATGCCTGATGCGCTTATAGTGTTAAAAAATGGGGTCCTTTACCTTTAACTAATTATAAATAGCGTATTTACATGATAAACATTTACATTATTCCCAAAGGACCTGCTGAAATTTAGTCTATACGGACTCAGTACTGACTTTGTTATTATTAATTTTTTACAAAAGGTTACATCAAATGCACAGTGGGCATATGGTGTTGAACACATATTTTTTTAACAGATCTATTGGCATCCGGTTCTTAAGGAAGAAAATAGGGGCTTTTACATACAGTCCTTAAGGAAGCAAACAGGGGCTTTTACATACAGTCCTTAAGTAAGAAAATAGGGGCTTCTGTATCCAGTCCTTAAGGAAGAAAATAGGCGCTTGTGCATCAAGTCCTTAAGGAAGAAAATACAGGTTTCTGTATCAAGTCCTTAAGGAAGAAAATATGGGCTTTTGTATCCAGTCCTTAATGAAGAAAATATGGGCTTCTGCATCCAGTCCTTAAGGAAGACAATAGGGGCTATTGCATCCAGTCCTCAAGGAAGAAAATAGGTGCTTTTGAGTGAAAATGCTACAGAAAGATTCTCAAAATACCATGGACAAAAATGAAAAGAAAAACTGACATCCTAAAAGATCTCAGCATCAAGGAAGATTGGTTAGTTAACAGCATCTTGTGTCAGAAAGTGAAATATTTTGGCTTTATCAAGCACCAAAGCTAATTGAAAAAAAAAACAAAAAAAAACTAATAGCAGAAGGCATGGTACCAGGAAAGAGGGGCAGAAGCCAATCACTATGAGGATGGGCACAGGATATAAGTGACACCTTGGGTAGAAAAGCACACAAGGTGGGAGATCTGGCAAGAGATCACATTTATTTCAGGCAGACTGTGACCGGAGTGACGTCCAACAAAGGACCTGTTACAAGCGTAGTTGACTAAACCGGATTGCGCGGTGACCGGGTGACAAACTCCTTGTGGTCCGGGTTCACTCCCGGGGGTAGGAAGAAAAGCCACATTTTCTCCCAGATTTACGGTATTTACAATGGAATCAAGGCTGAAAGGATGTGATATCCATAATACCGAGCCTAAGGGTTAACAACTCATGGCTTCTGGATACTAAAACAAACAAACAAGAGGATGTACGGGCGTTCAGTAGATGATGTAGTCAAGATCACACCCTCTACCTATACTTCCCAGGTTATTTTCTGGTACCAGTTTTAGACTGGCTAGACCTGGAAGCTCTGTCAATTTAAAAAACAGAAATTGCCTGAATGTGGATCTGAACACAAGAGCTGTGAACCAGCTGGCAAGCATGTGTGGTTTCTATCTTTCAATTTAAAGAATTCAGTTTGTGTACTTCATTGTTATGATGAGGTAGTTTCTGTAGTATGCACATAATGAGATACAGATAGATATCATTTTCATCAAGTGCCTTGCAGAATGACATGGGCAATCACGCCTATCCACATTCTATGATCCTCAACAGCATGTATCAATCAGTTCATGTGCTGACACCCTTTCATTTCATGACAATAGGCTGACAAGAATCTTCTTAGATTGTCTTCCTCTATCTCTTTTTTTTACATATCTTTCCAGTGTTCACAATGTGTCAAGTTTCCTTCTTCTTATAATATGTTAGTTAGTTGCGTATCCTTTACAGGACGTTACAGAACCAACCCCAGCTTTATTGGCTGTTGTGGTTTATCTAGGCAAATTTTACGTTCAGTAATTTGCCATTGCTTTCTTATAACATGACCAAAACAATTATGACTTGTCTCTTTTTGATATTTATGATAAGTTGTCTTGCAGCCTTTGCCTTTTAAAATAACCAGGATATTTATACACACACACATATATATGTATGTATGTATACATAAAACCCTCCTTCTTACATTCCTATATGCTGACATTCTTTTCATGCTAGGATTTGTAATGAAACTTGAACAAACTGACCTGCTAAGAGAGTCTGTCCTTTAACTTTAATGAGATACATATGTCCCCAGTCATTGCTTGCCCCTCGGATGACAGACACCAGCAAATAGTTGACACACACAAGTATCAACAGCGGGTCAAACAGTGCTTGTATATTTAACTTTGCCCCTGTTGTGTGCAGACAATGTTACAATACAGATAACAATTTATTTCCATTCAATACTTCATGTTCACTGGCTGTAAATAAACTTCTGCGGAAAGTTCTGGCTGCTTGTCCACTTCTGGACTGTTGGTCTTATTCCAGAACTTGAGTACTGTATACACATCCATTTTACAGATCCAGCATATTTGTGTGCAGACTGTTAGTTAATCATTTCCCTAAACAGTCGACTTTTAGAGTGTTGAGAGTGTCACATATAGCACAAACTCTGTGACTCCATTAATAATAATATGCATGATAGATTAGCATTACTATTCGTTGCATCCCTTGTCAGCCCTCGCAGCACACAGGTCATCAATATTCACACATTCTTCTTAATTTTTCTGAAATTTCTGTCATTTTGTTTCCATGAATATGAATTTTTCTTCTGTGTTTTTGCTTCCATGAAATACATCATATTCTCCTATGTTTTTCCCTCATGAAATACGACCTATTCTCCAGTGTTGACACAATAAGACAATGTATACATGCTGAAGAACATTGGGCGAGGAAAGGAGTGGGTCAGAGTACCAGAGAAAAAGTCTGACCTATGTAGGGTAATGATCACATTATGCCGGGAGTGCAGAGAGTGGCCAGCAGAGGCTACTGTGGTAGAAGTCAAACAGTTGATTCACACCAATTCTTGTCATGATGATCTGATTATCTACACAGATGGTTCTGTATTGAGAGGGAAGAGAAGTGCCTGGGGTTTTGCAGCAAAAGCTAATTGAAAATCTTTAGTGCAGGACAGCCTGGCATTTGATACCACAGCATCTAGCGTGAGAATGGAGGGGAGGCGGTCACTGCAGCTTGCCGGTGGCTGGAGAACAAGATACCTACACATGTCGTAATTGTAACGGATTGTGAACAAACACATGCTGAAAAAGGTGAAGACAGGATTGCTTTAAGCAGAGTGGCAAGCTTCACTTGCAAGGTCACGGGTAGTGAGCATATTTCTCCAGGCTATGCCGGCGTGGTGGGGAATGAACAGGCAGACAGATTGGCTGGATCTGCACCGCTGGGAGGTGAATCGATACACGACAAGGCAGATGTGGTCAAAGCCCTTTAGGAATAAGTCACAAAGTCAGAAGAAAAACTAGATTATTATGGGCTGGAGAGAATGATGCATCAGATCAAGTCAAGATGAATTCTGCTGCACTGAGTAATTTGGTAAACACTATGTACATCAAATTGAAATAAAGTATAGTACAGTATCCTTCTTCACAACTTTAAGTGTACAGCTCATACAGGGCTAGACCTAAATTGTATAGACTAACCGGCACTCTGTGGGTGATGTGGTCAAAATGGCTGCCTTTACTTCCCAAGACTGGTACCTATTTAAAGCTGGGTAAACCTGGCAGCCAAGGTACATTTTTTTTTTTTAAGTCTAGCTCTGTCAGGACCTTAACCCATGACCTTCAGATCTACATGCAGGCATGTCGCCACTACACAACAGCAGCTTCCCTATGTACATAAATAAGGTGTAAACAAAGATTTCAGACTCACCACTGCTGCTGCCAGGTCCTTTATGCTGTCTCAGATCTGAAGACTGGAAGAAAATGAAGCTTATGACTCCAAGGCTTAAAGCTGCCACAGCTGAAAAATGTCCAGAATAGACAAGTATGGAATGATCATGCCATTTTCAAAATGAGTCAACTGATATTAAAATAAACTGCTACGAACCATTGTTAAAGGTCAGGTAATGAGGTAATCACAGTTCCAACTTCATAGCAAACGAGTCAGTTCTTTATTAATATCCTACTCCAGATGACGTCACAGGTCAGTCAAACATTTTAGAGGGTGGTAAGACTGGGTTTCCTGGCGTTTTGATGCTTTTAACGACCCCAAAACATCTAGAACTGGCCCTAACCTCAACCCACCTATGTTCCACGAGCGAGTGCAGCCTAGGTCCCACAACTGCATGCAGCCTATCTACCACCCCCTGAAAAATTAGACTGTCCCGTGACCTGTGGATTCCCCTTGATTGGGGTAGGATAATAATAAAGCACCAAAAAGTCACTCCTCAGCTGCTACGTACCTCAGCCAACTAAAACCCTACAAAATGTTCATCGCTGTTCCTTATGAATAAAAAGAAACACAGAATCCAGTGTCAGCAAATCCAACACATTAAATGCATAAGGCAGCCATCAGAAGTGCCAACACAAACAGTCCGACACTAGAAATGCACTTTAACGTTGATGGAAGCATCAGTTACACCAGATCAACCAGTAGTAGCACAAGCAATTAATCCCATAAAGCACAACTAGTTCTCTGGCAACAGGCCACTATTTTCCAAATCTGCAGTTCACAACACAAACCATGTTAGGCATAGTCAAAGGAAATCCTCAGCTCGCAGTGTTGCACTTTGGTATTTCTCATGACAGGTGCTGCTAATGGGGTTGAGTTGAGTTGAGTCAAGAACCGACATCATAGCACTCAGGGGATTTCCAAAAGTGCTACATCCCCATCTTCAGCAGCTAGTGAAGAGTTCAGATACTAATGGTGCCAGCAGCGTTCTGATTAAATGTCTGTCTTGCCTTTCCTCTGAGCCTCGAGCATCTGCCACAACCTCTCGTCACTCCCTCCTGCATCAATCTCACCAGACTGTGGTGATCCATCTGCTTCCTCGAACTGTACATGCTCTCTCACAAGGCACTAATCACTGTTATGGGGTGTGAAGTGCTAGCTATACACATGCTCAAGGCCACGGCATACTATAGGAGCATATTGCCTAGAAACGGGGTCTCCAAAACTAAGTGGTTAAACCATTTGTCTCACATTTTGAAATGAAGGCTGTGGGTTCATGATGGACTGGGTCATTCGGTTCACAAGTGCAACATTTACAAATGTAGTAGCAGGAAACTAGCTGTTCTGCTCAGAGAGACTGTCATATGTGATAAAACGCATGTAATGAATTTGATCCTCTCACTTTTAACCCTGTCACCCTGGAAGTCATCAGTGAACCCAAATGCAGCAGAGAATGAACTGGGTCACATATCTGTGGGACTAAAGCTAAATGTTTATGTGACTTCATTTTTTTAAAACCTGTGATCCAGTTGCAAGTTAACACTGTCCCCTAAAGGAAAATATGAGGGTCATTTCTATTAACCCTTTTGTACTATGAGAGCTAAAAAAAAAATGGGCTGTGATACACAGGAATTCTTCTAAAAAATACTTTTAAAAAAACTACCGTATAATATGGGTCATTATTATATTTTTAAAAATTTATTTTAACATGTGGAAATCTCTAACCAAAATATATAACGATATTCTTCTTCTTCTGCGTTCATCCGAAGATGTAATTGCGCTGTGTCCGTTTACAGCATGGCTGCGATATTTGCACCTTTTGGGCAACACATCCGACTTCTGCGTGCATTTGTTGACCAGGTTAGCCTTCCTGGTATATAAAGATTTTTAAAGGGGTAATCAGAAAACATGAACAGAGTGCAACACTCAATGGAATACATTCCCCAGTGCGTGAAAAAACCAACCCAACATGTATCAGGCGATTTAAGCCATGACACCATGACCTCTGTCAATGAGGCTCACAGGAACATTCCACATCAGCTTGGCTTCAAAAAGCCATTTAAGTCTTAAGGAAATACTATGTTAACATCCTGACCTATTAAACATGCTGCAGGCCCACATGGACCAATGAAATTTAGCTACGATTTTTGAGAACAGTTTCCTGCAAACAATGTGATATATCGTCATTTACTTGGACGTTGCACAACACGAAGTGACCACGTTTAGGCCTCTTGGGCTTAAATGTTGATAAAGCCATTTTTTCATAGGAAAACCACTGTAAAAGCTATTTTCAGTAAATGTAGGCATTCTTTGCCATTCTAAACATTTGTAAGGGGACGATTAATAACAGGGCTATTAGCAAGGTATCCGGTCCTATAGCCAAGTCGAAAAAGTGGTTCTCTTGGGGAACTAAACTCCATCAGAGGTTTAAGTTTTGCAGCTTCTTGTGCAACACAGTAAAACCTTTTTGTGCTCAACCTTACGTCAATTCTAGTTGGTCAGTCATTGAGTTTAAACAAATGACAAAAACACAAACCAGCTGTAAGAAGAGAAGCCCTCCAACTAAATGCACTAACAATCGCTTGTGACACAAATGGTCCTGCAGTACCGGCCACATTACTAGAAGTGGACAAAATACTCCACCAAGTGGCAAACTGATCAGGTGGAAAGTTCTGCAGGGGGAAAAATTTACATATAAATAAAAGCTTCACTAGTCTCTTATTTGAATAATAATATTAATGTATGTGAGTGTGTGTGTCTATATATATATATTTATATAAATATTAGGGCTGTACCGAATATTCGCTTCGTATTCGCTTCGGGGCTGAATAGTGGACCTACTAGCTATTCGGTATTCGGCCGAATAGTGGCGGTCGGGCCGAATACGAATAGTGATTTCTGCATACACTGCGATGGACTGAAATAACTCTCTCATTAATAATGTCACAATTTATAGCCGACTTTTCTTGATTTTCGCCGCGGCACCCCTGTCATACGCACCCAGTTTTAGAACCTCTGCTGTAATGCCTCGGAGTCAGGCGCTGTTACCACGCAAACGGGTCGCCGTTTTCCCCGCTACGAAAGATTTAGGCATCGATACTGTTGTGTTAAAGAAGGCATGAAGAAACTTGAAAGTGTATCTGTGTGTGAGAGAGAGAGAGAGAGAGAGAGAGAGAGAGAGAGAGAGAGAGAGAGAGAGAGAGAGAGAGAGAGAGAGAGAGAGAGAGAGAGACAAGGAGAAAGCATGCATTTTTTTGTTCTTTCGGGGTGTCTTTTCCCAAATCAAATTGAAGATATTGCAAACGAGAATATGAAGGTGCATTTAAATTACATTTAAGGAACGCCTAAACGAAAAATGATTAAAATGCTATTTGGCACATGGATAAAATCAGATGAAAGATGCATTACTAAAATAAAAAACAGAATAGGACAGGCTAAAAATGCATTTTATATTTTAAAAAAAGAACATCTTGTGCAATATATCGTTGTCTTGCTTGCTACATACATCCAGTTTTAACATATGGCTATGAGTCCTGGACAATCGGTAGCCAGGCCAAACAATTTTTTGAGGCCTCAGAGATGTGGTTTTACAGAACAATGCTTAAAATACCTTGGACAGCTTAAAAAAAGCAACCACTAGGCTTTGAAAGAGGCGGGAGCCCGAAGACAACTAATCGCAGACATCAGAAGAAGACAGTCATCATATAGAAAGAGTGAAAATGGAACATGTGGTGACCACTGGAAAGATTTGTGGAAGGAGAGATAGAAAAAGACAACGAGAGAAGATTCTTGACAGTCGTTGCATGTCATGGAGGTGTGTCAGCACACAAACTGATACATGCTGCAGGAGATCGCAGATTGTGGCGAGGCAAAATCGCCACACCAGTCGGCGAGGCACCTGATGATGATGATACACTATTCGTATTCGGCCGAATAGTGAAAACCACTATTCGGTACAGCCCTAATAAATATATCCCTGTGTAGGTTCCAGGCCCCATTCGGGGCTGCCGCTTGTCTGGATTGTGAGCAACTATATGATAAAGCAGGTGTGATGAAGGCTCTACTGAATCGAATGGACAGTGCAAAAGAACTGATAGGGAATTCATTCACTGAAAAACTAATTCAACAGGTCGTGTGTAGAGGTTCTGGAATACATTCAACATTGAAGGGGAAACAAAGGCTGACTTTGAACTAGGTTGCAACTGGTATTCTTAGCATGTCAACTCTTCGTTGGTTACTGAAGAAGGGGACGGAGCATGTGTGGGAATATCCTGAGTGCAGTAATGTCAATTCCTGATTCATTCACTCACAGGTTTAGGGAAAGAGGAGAGGAAGAAAATGCAAGAAGATTCTTGTCAGTCTTATGTCATGACATTCAAGTTTTTCAGTACATGGGCTGATAATGCTGCTGGTGATTGCAAACTGGAAAGGTATTATTGCCTGTGCCAGTTGACAAGGCACTTGAGGATGATGGACAGTAACATTATGGTCGGACGCAACCACATTTTCTGCTGCCAGCAACAACAACAACAACAACAAAACAAGCAGTGTCACACATTGTCTACAATGATAAACACAGGTAAATAAGAAACAAATAAGATTATTTTTTAGGGGCGGAGTGAATTAAAATTTGTTAATATTTATTTGTAATAGGAAAAATAGTTTCTGGATTCAATTTATTCACAAATCAAGCCCGGACAAGAAGCGGATAAAAATCTGTATCTTGAGGTTCCATTGTATATTCTTTGAAGTGATAATAAATCTACTGCCAGTTCGCTAGGCCTGTTGCAACTTCACCAGTCCCACTGGGCACAATGTTTCGAGGTAACCCAGGATGGCCTTCACGGCTGCTGTCACATGGCACAAGGTCACACGATGCTTTGCTAAGTCCTAGTAATCCTTTACTTTGTCTTGTTTACCACCTTCCACAGAGGGACATGGGGTTGAGCTTTGCAACACCATAACATTCAAGAAATATACCAAACATGAGAGGGGTGAACAGCACAAGACAGACAAGAACAAGATAGGAAAATAACATCAGAGAAACTCTTTAAAAGTATGATCTGTCTACGGTCGAGGCAGCCAGAAAAGCAAGAAGCGGAATCGTATACCTTCCTTAACACCTAAAGCAGCAAAAGAGGGAGGGAAGAAGCTGACAAACTAGAAATCCATTAGAAGGGTACTACAATGATTTCTACCAATGACCTAAGCCTGACCTGTTTCAGCAGTACTGCACAAGCAGACCATGCAGGTCCTTGAGCCATGCCACAGAGAAACCAAATCACAGCAAACAAACTCACAGAGGCTGCAGCTGCAGAGGCAACAGAAATTACAAGAATTACACCATGGACTATATTCTTTTCTATCTCTTTTACTCTCCCCATGTGGGTTCCTGGGCCCCATTTTGGGTGGAAGGGGGGAGGAATAGCCCCATTGTTCCTTAACAAGCATGTCACAAAGGGTGACTTTTTAAGGATTTGCTCAATAAGGATGTGTTGGGCTGAAAGATGCAGATATCACAGCTCTGCTGCACACCACAACACAATGGGCAACCTTCAACTATTTTAAGTCCCGAAGAACACATCATATGTTCACAGGCTCCTAGCTAGAAGCCTGATGAACACAAGATGTGCCGATTTCACATCTCTCTTTACCACCCCTTGGGCCTCTGATGCCAAACTTCCTGGGACCGAAAGAGTTAAGAATGAATGCAAAAAGGGGAGGGGGGAGGGGGGGGGGCATTTCTTTTAATTATAAATATTCTTTTTTGTCTTTTTTGGCTGGTGTGGGCTGTTATTCATCTTCAGAACCATTTTTCTTTCGATTCTATTTATTATCCGTCTTATGTCCTGACATTATTACATGTGACAGATGATGCCACATTTATTTTTATTAGATCTGATCCCTGTGATATCTCTTATTTGTTTTATTTTAGTCAGGTTACTAGTTTACAATTATTCTCCAGCCTCATTTCCATTAATTTTACTACAAAGCTGTCATATCTGTGCCTTCTGAACAACATACGTAATTCTGGACAATAATTTAGGACTTCAAATGCTCTGTATTGTAACAGCAAGATCACAATATATAAAACACTGATCTTCTTCTTCTTTTTCTTCTTCTTCTTTGTTCACCGGCTGTAAGCTCCAGCAGAAAGCCCTGGTTGTTCGTCCACTTGGACTCTGGGCATGTGCCGGGGCCTGAGTTTTGCGTGTACATCTGTTTTACTAACTCATTTGTGTGCAGCTGGTTGTTATCAAAATTTTCTGGCCAGATACAATCTCAAACACTAAACTACTTCAAGCCACAAACCAAGAAACTTTAGACAGTATGATTACCAAGAGAAGATGGAAATGGCTTGGCCACGTTATGAGAATGACTTCTGAAATACCTGCCAAAACAGCTCTCACATGGACACCAGAGGGAAAGAGAAAACAGGGGCGCCCAAAAACAACATGGAGATGAACGATGGAAAGTGACCTGAGTGCGGCATCTCTGACATGGAAAACTGCACTGAAGATTGCACAGGACAGGAAAGCATGGAAAGTTCTCTATGAAGCCTCATGTGCCACTAGGCATAACGAGAACTGATTATGATGGTTGTTCCTTGCCTCTCAGGCAGATGCACTCTTCAAAGGAAGCTTCCAGTTTAGTTGAGTCCTACGATATACTAATTGGGGAGGTAGTAGGTATGTTCTTGTTTTCCCCACAATGGGGAACCGGAACTCACACAAGGAGAAAACACTGATGAGACCAAATGTCCTGTATAGCTGTGAAATTTGGAGCACAGTTAAAAGAGATAAAGCCTTATTACAATTATTACAAACGTTTGAGAACAGAGAACAGACCCATCAAAGATACAAACTGTGTTGAATGCAGAATGAGAGGCAACAGTGAAATTCATAATGTGTTTAAATCACCACCAACTACTGGTATCATGTGAGCCATTAGACTTCAGTGGTTGGGGCCTAGAATGGTAGATAACAGGCCAGAAAAAGGTTTATACAAAAAAGCTGAATGGGATTTAGCTTACTACCTGGTGCTCCCTTTTAGGCTGCATCAACCTGGAAGCTTAGATAAATTAATTTTGAATAAAATCTGACTCGATGATGATTTGAACTCAAAACTTTAGGGCCAACAGATAAGCTTCTAGCCAATAAGCCACCAAAGCTCCCCCCAGTCTGATGGTAATGTGTTTGAATCCAACACCCCATCAAGGCTGACAATTTGTTTTTTTACTGATCTGGTTTCTATGTGTTGTTGTTGGTTGAGGTTCCAGTATCACTGCAGATAAGCCACCCCCTAACCTCTCCGTTCCTGTGCCAGTGGATATCACACACAATTTACTTGATTGTCCTGTCTGAAAAAGTTCACTTCAGAGGTTCCGGATAGTATGCATCCTTTGGATATTTTCTCCAGGTTATGTTGAATTGATATATGACAAGCTAGATATTGTGAGGGCCCTTTGGGTGCCAGTGAACAGTGAGGAGGCACAGAAATATTATAATGTGAGGAGAATGGCATTGCAAGGAGTTACAAGGGGATCTGGCAGATGCCCAACACAAGAGGAAAGGGCGAGATGGATATACAATCAGACAGTTACTGGTACCATCGGAATTGGAACTCTTCGCTTGCTGCTGAAGATGGGGATGGAGCACTTATTGTAGTGCCCTGAATGCTGTGATGTCGAATCTTAATTCAACATTTAACATTAAAAAGTTAGTAAACAAAAAGTGTCAGTCCCAGCAACATCTTGAAGAGTGTTAATGCAAAATAAAAATGCATAAGGCAGCTGTTGAATGGGCCAGCACTAAATGTCCTATACAAGACCAGCAGCTCACTGTTGGCGAAAATGGTCAATCATGAATGCCTGCACAGCACACGCAATAGTACATGCCATTCTAAATGTAACTGGCCACTCATCATTTTAGCGCAGTTAAAAACATGTCGTTGGCAGAACAACAAAAAAACAAAACACATTCCACATGGAAATCCACAGCTCACAGTGTCACACCAAGCACTCAACTCAGTAGCTTGGTGACGGAACTTTGAGATTTCCGGTAAAGAAATTAGGAATTTGCATCAGCAAAATCCAGATCAAAACAAATAACCTTTTAATCTGCAGTCAGTCGGCTGTCAGCCATTTTGCCAGGTCCTTATTTTGTGCCATGCGTACGAATCACTAATGAAAGCACTTCCAGCAATTACACACTGTTACCTGTGAAAGCAGCACAGGTAATGCCTGTCAGCAGTAGACATGTCACGAAGGTCAGTCCAGGGTCAAGTATATCTGCGAGAGTTCCACCGATAAACTTGACAAAAGTGTACCCCAACTGCTGGCTACTGAGAATCAAACCTGGAAGAAAACAAAACATTATTATATTTTATGTGTGCGGCAAGAGAGTTAATTTAAGCTGACTTAATGTGTATGCATAAATAAAATAACATTATAATGACACACAACAACTTTGCAGATACAAATAATCTATTTAAAGCCAATAAATAAGGAAGAAGGAGGAGGAGGAGGAGAAGGAGATGGAGTAGGAAGAGAAGGAGATGGAGGAGGTGGAGAAGGAGGAGGAGGAGGAAAAGAAGAAGAAGAAGAAGAAGAAGAAGAAGAAAAAGAAGAAGAAGAAGAAGAAGAAGAAGAAGAAGAAGAAGAAGAAGAAGAAAGAAGAAGAAGAAAAAGAAGAAGAAGAAAAAGAAGAAAAAAAAACTGATAACACACACACTCACAGACATATGCGGGCGCACACACACACCCACATACATACAGATGGGTAGTAGATACTTATAAAATAAACAGAATACAAACAAAACTTTTGCAGTCACCCTTAAAGGGACAGATGACAGGTTATGTAGTGGTTTACAGCTATCCTGCAATATCTTTTTCAGCCCAACATCTCTGCATTCAGCAAAACCCTGTTTGTTGCCTGTAATGAAACACTTGATAGGAGGCGGTGATTCTATCCCCTTCCCTCCCCCAATGAGCCCTGGAGCTCACACGTGGACAAACCAAACAGAACAATAGTTCCTGGGTCTCTATTTTCTGAATGTCTGGTGATTCACCATAAGTTTCTTGTCAAGATTAATTTATGTGTATATGAATGTTTAACTCTTTTGGTCCCAATCAGTTTGGTTTTGTCCTAGGAAAACGTTACTCTGAAAAAAAATATTTCTGGATATGATGGAGTTCAAATAATAACAGAGACGGAATGAGTTAAAATAATCAACCCTTTTGCTTTAAGAAAGTTGGCTTTTACTTGACATGTCTTTGGATAGGCCCAGTAGGCCTGTATGACATTGTTGGTCCTGGGTTCAACTGCATAGTATGTGGACATGGTGTGTTAGATTATATATTTTTTTTAAAAACATAGAGATTTTTTGGGGGGAGTGTTTTTGTCATTGTGATATCGTAATTAATTTACGATGGGCAGAGTTTTGGAAAATTACAACAATGTATTTACTTTTAGCAAAATTTGTGGGTAAAAAAAAGTTTTTGTGTGTGTGTGTAAAGACTGTTACAAGATGAAATGGTTACCGCGTAAAGAGTTAATAAATGAGTATAATGTAATTAGGAAGAAACAAATGCAAGATCTGTTGCTTAGTACCGAGTGAGGAAAAAACCCACTACCAATATTCATGGGATATGGCTGAACAAGAATGCTGGAGGAAACCCAGGTTTAAATCCTTGGTAAGCAAAATTCTAACCAGCATAGTCCATGGTGACCGACTAGCCATGTCGCTCTGTGTCACTTGGCTCTAAAACCCCAGGCTCTAGAACTACATGTCCATTGGTGCACAAGGCATGGGAGGCTAAACTTTTGTAATTTTACAGATCTATCAATGTGTAATTTGGTCAACATCCGACTACCTTTACTTCCCAGGTCATTACCTGGTACCTATGTAAAGCTGGGTTGACCTCGCAGCAACAACAACAACAAAAAAGTGGCAATGCAGGCAGTAACGAAAATGTTTTTTTTTTTTTGGTAAACAAATCTTACCAAGATCGCTGTCTGCAAGTTTCTCAGATTCCAGAATCACTGGGGCTGCATAGGACACAGATTGTCGAACATAAACAATCACCAAGTAGCCAACATAAACTATGAGGAACATCAAGTGAAGGCTTCTTTTTACTGCCATGATTAGAACTGTGATGATCTGCCACCATCCTTCACAGGAAAATAAAACATACAGGAATGTGTTCTTTAGTGTCTAATTTTCCTGTGTGAGTTCAGGGGTCCTATTTTGAGGGGAAATCAGAAAAGACCTACTACGTGGTACCTACTTTAAGCTGGGTCAACCTAGGAGCAAATGGCATAAAAAAAATATTAAAAAAATTAAATCTGCCTGGTACAGATTTGAAGCTAAGACCTGGGTTGCACCTGAATACTTTCATAAAAGCTGCAGTATTCTTTAACTGATACAAAATGGGATGAATTCAAGGGTGAATAAATAGGAGAAGTGGGTGGGCAATCACTGGTAAGATCAGTTATAAAACAAGAAGATGCTATATTGGACACATACTGAGAAGAAACAAGCAAAGAACCACCAAACAGGTACTGAAATGGGAAATAAAGGGATAGAAAAAGTGAGGATGTCTAAGAGAAACTCCAAAATGAGCGTTGATGAGAGAGGCCAAAGCTGCTGCACTGGATTTCATCCATATTCCATCCACGATACTAAATCTACTGCACACGACAAAACAGAACTGAGGAATAGACTGTAAGCCCTATGTGACATATAGTGGCCCAAAGGTATGATGATGATGATGATTCTTTCACTGATCACTCAAGGAGTATGAATCAACATGACTCACAAGCTCTGCAGCACTGGCTAGGATCCCATTGTGTGAATACCAGGACCACAAATTTCTTCACTATTCATTTGTAGGTATGTTTTCTAATGTTGAAATTTAGCATGGACAATTATACTTCTTAGCGTTCACCATTTGTAAACTCTAGTGGAAAGTTCTGGTTGTTTGTCCACTTCTTGACTTTGTTCAGGCTCCAGAACTTGAGTTTTCCATGCAAATCAGTTTTATAGATCTGGCTTACTGGTATGCAGACTGCTGGTTTTGTGTCTCTCAGGCAGATACACTCCAACTTCAAGGGAAATGGTTTAATTAGTCACCTTTGATGACATACTTGAAGCGGATAGTAGGTCTATACCCCCCCCCCCTCCTTCCACCCCCAAGACCCTGAAACCCACACAGGGAAACCTGGACAATGATAATGCAGCTTACTCTTAACTTGCAAAAACACAGGTCTTCTTAGTCTTTCTCTGTGTAATTCTACATGACTAATCTGATCAGCTAGTCGTGGATTTACTATAACATCATCTGGGTCATCAACTGGTATAGATCCACTACAAGATTTGCATCTGGTTTTATTGAGCAGTGGGGGATTTCTCTTCAAACCCACAGGCGTTGACGTCTCTTAGATAGATCTGTCACTGGTGTTATGAATCTATTCTACTGATGATATTCCCCCATCACACTATTCCGATCTTTAGAGTTTCCTAGCAATAATAATAACAAGCCATGATCAGTGTACTCGTGGCAGATGTAGAAGCAAGATGGGTATGATACTGTATAGTTATAGATTTTAGAGACTGACAGAAAGAAACCCTAAGATGAACGTTGATGAGAGAGGCCAAAGCTGCTGCACTGGATCTCACTCATGATATTGAGCTTATTGCACAGAACAGAACGGAATGTAATGGATGAACAAACTGCAAGCCCCAATGATACTATTGCAGTAATGGCACAACATGATAATGAATGAGAATAACAGTAACAGAGTATAGACAAAACTGTTTAGTCAAATAAGGAGTAACTGGTCCACATACGGTGAGCTATATGTACACACTGCCTTACTGTTTGGTACCCACTGGGTTAATGATCAAACTGAAGACGTGACACTTTGAGGCTTGATGACAATTTGCAGCGTAGCCGTGAGTAAGCAGACGACCCAGAGTCCAGAGAAAACTGTCAATACGGACACCGACGTGCAATCTACGCAACAGCAGTATAGAATCTCGAGAAATGTAAAAAGTACATTACAAATCAAAATAATTAATATACAAAAATAATTGGAGTAAGCGTTAAAAACGTATTTAATTACTTTTAATAAATCATTCAAGTACTGACAAATTCACTTGATAGGAAATATGCCATGCTTAGTAAGTCACAGTATTTTACGAAATAAATCAAGAAATGTAATTTATATTATGAATAGAATCGTTTCTGATTAATTTTTATGCGGTTGCTATACCAACAGCAAAGCGTCTCTGTAAAATGGAAAACAATGAACTCAGTTCTGAGTTGACATCAGTTGTTACTTGTTGGATGCATAAAAGAAACAGTCACATGGCCAACATCTAACTTCATTATCTAAAGCAAAGACTTTACATTTCGTGTTAAACTGAATCTTTTACAGGTAATCGATACTCATTTTGACACAAATTAACATTTGACTAATGACAGTAAGTAAAATAATAATGTACTAATGACATATGATGTTAATTATTATTGTTATGTTATCACAATCGACGTCACTGCATATTGGGCATTCCAATGCGTGCTCAGTCCTCTGATGCAGCAGCCACTCCAAAGTACTTCTGGTAATTGTTCCCATGAGAGGTTGGTTATAATGTCTCCTGTCTCGACTTAAAAGGCGGCATAGACGTGCTTCATCATGCTTTACTCCTATGTCATGCAATCATGTTAGTATCAGAGATTGGTTATTTTCCCCTGGCCCAGTCCATAGAGTGTTGGTGATGTCTGCTCCGTCCATGCTTCTCCCCCCCCCTCCCCGCCATGTGTTAGTGTATTGCTTGCCAGGTGGTCCACTCGCTCAAAACCCTTTACACCAGCATGACTAAGTGTGTAGATCCAGGTAAGGGAGGTTAAGTGCGAATTTTGTATGCTTTCTACCCATTCAAAGTACATCTGCTGGTTGCTATTTTCTGAAGCATGTTCATGATGTCTGATACAATTACTGCATGTCTGGCTGTTAGCTCTGCTGTCCATGCTAATGCTGTAGAAGCAGCAGTTATCTCCTATTTATGCTGTGTGTACCCAAGATGCATTGATCCATCCTTCACAGATCTAACTGTGTAGATAATGCTGTCTTCTGATTGTGGATGCTGATCTACTAGTACCCTTACTTCTGTGTCTATGGCAGCATGAATCTGATCCCTGCAGTACCTTCCCAGTGTGATGACAACCTTACAGATGACATGCATGTCTACTGGTGTATGCATACATTCTTTTCCGTGACTGATCTCACGTATGTCACACAAATGCTGGATTAAGTCTCTAGCCTTGGCCATCCATGAGCAGCCTCTTTGAAG